CTGGGGAGGGCCCTGTTCTTGGGGGTCCTCTCTGCAGAGTCCGTAGCGACACAGGATATTGCATGGCAAGCACGGCAAGGGCTTGTATTAACGTGCTCACGGGCTCTCCTTATGAAGCCACGAGTGCGCACCTTGATAATCCATCAAACTGTTAGCCTGTTGCTCCATGAATAGGTTAGTCCATTCTTGAGGGCACAGTCCTCATGATCCAATCACCTCTTAAAGGCCCACCTTTCCACAGTGCCCTAGGCTGAGTTCCCAGCCTCTAACACTGTACAACAGGGGTCAAGCCTCAGTGAGTTTTGGGGGGATATTCAATGCACAGTATCTATTTAGACTATGCATTTGATAGATCTGAGGAGCTTTAAAAAGACTGACTTTTAAATTTATGAAGAAAAATTTTTTTTAATTTAAAATTTTTTAGACTGATTTAAATGGAGTGGGGGGCTGGCATCGGTATTGAAACAATGCAAAACCAGCTCTTTTGGGATTCGTATGTGAAGATCGTCTGGAATTAGTTTCATTCATTCATTTGTCTTTTAGCAATTTATTTGCACATAATGTTGTGATTTTGTGTATTTTTATAAATGTAATTTTTCCTGTTCAGGGACACGTCAGCTTATTTTAGGAGGTCAGACTTTTTCTTCAGATAATTCAAGCAGAGCAACTTTGATGACCAATTGGTTTCAGAGAAGCCTAAGTCACTTTACTCTTCTAGCTCTTTCCAAAATATTTTCTAAGTATTCCTTTCTCACGGATATATCCAGTTTGGGAAATTATTTCATATCCAATTTGGCATAATCAGCTCATGGTTGGTAGCTCAGTGACACTCATTATATTTTTAAGTAAACCCTCAGGATCACGGCCTTCGATATTTTTCTTTAGCTTTTATCATCATGAGATATTAATACACTGGACTCTTGATAGTGAGTAGCGGTGTTGACACAAATGTTTATTTAAATGGATTCAATATGCTCTAGAAAGTTGAGAGTGTCCTGGAAAACTACAGGGAGATTGATACCCTGCATTACCGCTGGACAGCGGGGTGGGGGTGGGGGGATTAAGTGATACTTGAAGCCATGTCCCTCAATTGGGAGGGCCCAGTCCTCTCCTGGTGCAGCTTGAAAACCTCCAGTGTCCTTAACATGAGTGAAGCTGGTCCAAATAAAAGACTGGCATTAAAGGTGTTCAGACAGAAATGGGTCCCTTACAGGGGCTGGGTCAGACAGGAAAGCAGCACAGCACAACTGTCCCCTCCCACCCACATCCCACCCCCACCCATCCTGCTTGGGGACCAGGGGCCCTCCATGAGGGGTGCTTGGGTGGAGGCTGCCTCAGGGGCAGCTCTTGGACCAAAGGCAGCCACCTGGCTTCTTGTTCAGGGTGGCTCCATGCAGGGACAGGTCCAGCAAAAATATTTCCTTTAACTTTCATCACAGATATTTCCAAACATCCATAGGAGTAGAGAGAATGGCATCGCAGACAGCCTGAGTCCATCCACTCTCGGCTTTGACAGGCAGCAGCTGCGTGCGGATCGGGTGTCATCCACTCCCCGCCTGCCTTCCAGTCCTCAGAGACCAGAGGAGTGAATGTCAGCCAGTCCTCCCTGTGATCACAGCCCGGTTGCCAGTTTGGGGACATCTGCCTTTTAAACTCTGAGATGTCCTTATTCATCTTTCCACTTGCACAGCAGATCACCCGCCATCCCTTTGGATTGTGGATTCATTGTCCTCTTTCCTATCACCCCAAGTAGGGCAGGGCTCCTTACCCTTCCTTG